AGAAAAGAAAAAAAAGAGTGAGGCTTTTGTCTATAATAGTATTTGTCCTAAGAAACAATGGCTGGCCAAGTGGATGGATCTTCAAGCTCCGTGAGGAATCTCCGGCCACCGGTGGTCACTTTTAGCCCCAGCCAGTGGGGTGACTATTTCACTCACTTCTCATTGGACACTCAGGTGCGTAAACCGGTTATCATAAATTCTTGTAGGTAAAACAGTCTCTCCGTTAGACAGGTTAGATCCGTCATACTATTTGGATCGAATATATCCTTGTTACAAATTCTTGTGTGAGACGATCTATTAACTAGTTTCTTTAGCCGTAAGCTATAAACTATAAACCTAAAACAAATATATAGTCTATAAACTAACGTAACAGTTAACTTTTCTGTTGGATTTATCAAACATACTCGCTTAATTAAACCTGATAGTTGCATAATATTAATGTTTTGAAAGTAACATGCATTCAGGAGCAAGAAAAGTATGCAGAGGCCATCGAAACACTGAAGAATGACGTGAGAGCTAAGATAAATGATGCAAAATCTAGCAAGTCATTGATTACTTTAATCGCAACAGTTGAGCGCTTGGGATTGGGATATCATTTGGAGACAGAAATCACTTCCAAACTCGAATCAATATACGAAAATTTGCACAATAAGCACGAAGACCACGACCTGTTTACTACTGCATTGGGCTTTCGTCTTTTGAGGCAACATCAGTATCAAGTTTCTTGTTGTATGTCCTTGAATTTATACATTATTTAACTCTAACACATGCGTATACATTATTTGTATTAATTGAATTTTCTTATTCGGCCGTCCATGACCGTATGATCAAATCTCACAGGTATTTTCGATAAATTTACGGATGGAGAAAACAAATTCAAAGTTGATGTGGCCAATGATGCTGAGGGATTGTTGAGCTTGTACGAAGCGGCCCATGCTCGTATTCATGGAGAGGAAATCTTAGACGAGGCTGTTCCGTTTACAACACATCACTTGAAGCGGATATTGGCAACCGAGACAATAGAATCCTCACTCAAAGAACAAATTATGCGTGCTTTAGAGCATCCTCATTACAGGGGAGCTCCAATCATTGAGATACGCGTCTTTATTTCACTCTACGAAAAGCATGAATCGAAGGACCCGTTGCTTCTCAAACTCGCCAAACTCAATTTTAATTTCTTGCAGAATATGTACAAGAAAGAGATGTCCGAACTCTCCAAGTAACTACTTCAACATTTTCTTTCCTTACGTTTTTTGGTATTTGAATAAGTTAATGATGAAAACATAAAGTGTACTTACAAAAGATATATATATATATATATTTATTTTAAATCAAAGATTAATCTTTTGTTGTATATGAAAGGTGGTGGATTCAACTGGACCTTAAGTCGAAATTGACTCATGCACGAGACAGATTGATCGAATGCTACTTCTGGGGAACAGCTTTACATTTTGAACCTCAGTACGCTTATATTCGAAAAAGTGTTTCCAAAACCATGCAAATGGTTTCGATAATGGACGATACGTATGACAATTACGCTACACTTGATGAAGCTCAACTCTTCACTGACATTTTGGAAAAGTACGTACATCGAAAAATAAGATTCATTAATTTTTTTCCATTTTAAATTTTCTCTCTAAATAGTATAATTTCTTATTTTCAGATGGGATATAAATGAAATCGATCCACTCCCAAACTACATGAAGATTGTTTATGAGTACATCATGAGTTTGTATGAGGACTTTAAGCGTGATGCAGAGGAAGAAGACAAATCCTTTGCCGTTCCCTTTTACATAGAAACAGTAAAGATGATCTATAATCTATTCGACATTGAGATTCAACTTAGTTACCGACTAGTCAATTTTTAAACACTTGACATCATATATAATATCTACACCTTTCTCAACCAGGTTAAACAGATTGCTCGAGCATACAATCAAGAACAAATATGGATAATGGAACGTCAAATGCCCTCGTTTGAACACTATATGAACAACTCGGTGATCACCAGTTGTATGTATGTGGTATTCTCGGCTCTAATCCCGGGCCTCAAATCTTCTACCAAGGATATTGTTGATTGGTTGGCGAACGATCCTAAACTCTTCATATCCACTGCAAAGATGGGTCGACACCTTGAGGACTTGGGTAGCGAAGATGTAAGCATTATAATCTATATGATTACTCATTTTTCATGTAATGTGGCGAGACTTAACTAAATTCGATTTTTCACGTTTTGAAATCTTGAAGCGCGAGAATAGAGAAGGAAAGCTGCTCACGGTGGTTGATTGCTACATGAAGGATCACGGCGTGTCAAGAAAAGAGGCTTTGTCCAAATTCAAAGAGTTTGTGGAGAATGGGTGGAAGAACATGAACACGGAGTGGGTCGCCAAAAGCTCCGTACCCAAGGAAATGATCGTGCAACTCATTAACTATGGACGGATGGCCGAGGTGACTTACAACAAGTCGATAGACCATTATACGTTCCCTGAGAAGTTCATGACCCCACTGATTACCTCCATATTTGTTGACCCCATTGCCATTTGATTTCGAATCTATCTATTGTGAGTGTGTCAACGTTTCATTTGGACTTGTTCTTGAATTCTGGTTACTTGTTTGGATTTTTATTATTGTTGTGTTGTTTTTGCTGCTTGCATTGTTAAACATATGTGTTCTTGAATTATGGTTGTATCTTGAAATGTTAAAACCTATATGGTTGTTTGAGTATGTAGCGCTAAATAAAAAATTATGAATATTCATTATAAGTGAAGTTGTGTCAAATAGACAGTAAGTCATTGCATCCATCTATGCTTTGAAAAGAATTTCAGAAGCTTTTTGATTTGTGGGGATTATTATACATGTTGTTGTCTACTTCATGTACATGTGGACGAGAATCCATATTTTATGGATACTTAAAACATATAGTTTATGGTCGATGGCTGAAAAGTGAAAACTAGCCGATATAGTAAACATTTGGTAAAAATGACTTATAAGTCAGCCGAGTTTTTTTTTTTTTTTT